TGTGTGTGTGTGTGTGTGTGTGTGTGTGTGTATGTATGTATGTATATATATATATATGTGTGTGTGTGTGTGTGGTGGTGGTTTCAGTGTGCATGAGCGGGGAGGTGGGGCATGTGTGTGTGTGTGCATGAAAACGTACATACAAATGTTTGCAAATCGATGTATACATTTGCGTTCATATTAAAACTAAATTCTACAAACAAAAATATACATGCATCCATTTCCGACACAACACCGACCCACAACTCGGCTAAATCGATATATACTACCACTCACACGACACAGACCATAATATTTACCTTTTGAAGTCACGCATAAGCCGTCTACGAGCTGGAGTTGTCATTTTTTCGGGTATTGAAGCTGATTTGTGATAGCCCTTGTAGTTAGCACAGACTGAAGTAGTCGTTGAGTGTGCCACCCAGGGAATTCGGAATCTTCGGGATTCGAGATTACGAGTCATTCGAGTTTCGACTCGACGATTTGGTAGAGATTACCCGATGTACCGAACTACTTTTTCTACACTTCTTTGATTACAAAATAAATGCAAATCATTTTGTCTGCTACAGCTACACTACACTTTCTACAATCTACTTTTACACGGTATGACTAAATATTTACAATCTCTTTGAGAGAGAGAGTGCCAATGGAGGCAGTCTGGCTGTTCAGTGTTCATAGATCTCTGTCATGCATTTTTATTTATTTATGTGTGGCTTGTATCCTAGCTCAGACTTCAGAGAGCTTGTACATATGTTGATATGTATCATCAACATAAATATGTGTAATATGAATCATAGCCAACTGAGTACACACACTATATGTAGGCTTCTACTATTATAAACGGTCACTCGACACTTCACTCTTCTTGGTTTGTTTTCTTTTTATAAACTCTTAGCTCTCACATGAAAAGGTAGATACACAGTTGCGGACGTTCAAATTCCATGGTACAAACATATCTGTTGTCGTGTCGTATTTGAAAATACATGTGTTGTTGTATTTGATATTACATGTAGAACTGTACATTATCCACACGGCTAAAAAATATGTATGAGGGTTTGTCTTAACCGCATGGTACGTATTTTGTTTGACAATAGAGAACAGTGGTTTTAGAAGAACTTTCAGTCACTTATATATTAGGTTCTGTCACTTAAGTAACCAACATTGTATAAATCTAAAACTGGTCACGACCGCTTGGTATTTGTTTTATTACATTAAAAAACAATTAGTGTACTCAAATATTAAGTGTATTTTGAACTGTACTATCCACCCTACTATCCACCCTACTATCCACAGGCTATAAACGCCCAATTGTGCGAGACGCTACTTGATGTAACCAGAAAAAGGCCACAAGCACGTGTATGAGGCAATGAAACCCGGATCCCTGTGCTGATACAATCGTGTGTAAATGCTGTCCTACGCCAATTGGAATACTTTGGGGCGGGAAGTTGATTCTGTCATCTAGCCCAAGGCTTGTATTACATGTATATACAAACACTAAGGCTACGCGAAATATCCAATTTTGTAAGTCTGAGATAGTATACAGCCTACTAATTCAATAGTCTCGATTCTTTTTTTAAAGACGATTGCTAATATATAATAAACGAGATGGATAGTACAGTATGTATCGTACATTTTGCATGGACCCAAATGAGCAATGCAGCCACAACTAGAGCCTATCTATCTCAATGTAAATAAAATACCGACTGAGCGACCCCACATACGAGGCCCGCCTCACCCTCTCGCAACTTCATTTACGACCTGCTCACGACTCACGCTTGAGCAGGCTGAGGCTCACAGACCACGTCACCACTGACCACGGTCTCACAGCGGTCAGCCGGTCACGCAGCCACGCGAGTGAGGCGACTAAATACGCAACTCGCAAGAGACCAAATGTTCAAAAATAACATGAACCTCTAGAGAAAGAGAAGACTTAAAATTAACAAAATGTAGGGCCGTGAAAATAGCCCTCTTGTATTATTTTAGAGGGCTGTGAGAATGTTTCTAGAACCAAACCGTTCACATAAATACCTCGTTTATTCCTCGAATCGACCAATAAAATTTGAGACGAACGTCACAACACGGTCATCCCTTTTTGCATTATTTTGCCACAGATATGTGCGAAAAATTAGTGAAAATTTATTTGCGTACATATGTACAAAAGCTTTTGATCGTATTTTGTCCCGGTTGCCTGTTAGGCACTCTTCAGCACGGACGCTTCGGAACGGATCCTATTAGGTGTGCCTATTGAAGCTACACGCTCACGTACAGTCGTATAACCTCGCTTCATATAAGCAACGTGGTTTTTTCTGAGAAGGGCTTGTTGCTTTCAATAGTGATTGCCACAATTTGTTGTCCTAAATACACAAAGTGTTCTGCTGTCCCATGTCCATTGAATTTTACAATAGAAAATCTGCTGCATACGTTGCAGCTACTGGGAAGTTATGGGTTCGGAATAGTTTTTAACTCGCATGTGAGACTCGCGTCTTTTCAGTACTCTGTAAATATCACTCCATATGTGATCTCAATAGCGTGTTATGTCACTGGATTCTTTCTCACGAATCGCCAAGTGATTCTGCTCACGATCATTCGAAGAGATTTGTTTTCCCGTTTCGTTTGGCTACATCTGGGTTGAACTACAACCGTGCTGACCATTTTCACGGGTGACTTACGATAGTGCTTAAGAAAACGATATGTTGTGGTGATAGCCGGAGTGTGATATATATGCGTGCTGATAGATCATATTAGCACGCATTTGTGCCTATAGGCTCTTGTATGGTACACATTAGACTAGGAGTGCTTTACACTCGACTCGATTAGGATTATATGCGATTTATAGGTGTATGTTAGTGTAGATTATCGTATTAGCTCGAGTTATTGAATTGTATTTACCTGTGGACGGCAATGAAGCCTGAACCAGTCTGTGCCTTAACAAACGGATATATGAAGCTGTACCTACTGGCATACACATTTTACCGGCTTCGGTCAGCAAATACGTTTCCATATACACCTCGTCATTGAAATGTACGTGCCTATGCTTGTGCAGTATATGATCATGTGTAAGTTTAATGGCCAATAATGTGCTATGCAGTGTAGGGTGTAATGTGAGCTGATTACTCTATTTCTGACAGAATTATATACCATAATCGGCAATGTACAGTAACTTCGCATCGTTTCTAATCGTGAATATAATTTACCTGGCTGTCTACAGGGAAAACCCCTTTATAAGGATCTTTTCTTTTGCTGCCAATCCTGACCCCATTATATCACTTTTATCACTTTTGCTCACTATATTTCTAGACAACGGAAATTTCACAATGACTACGGCAACTAAATGCAGTTCAGATTCCGTTTTAACGGATGGTGATGTTCGGAACTACATAAACGGCAACTTTGTATCTACTGCCGACACCATAGACGATTTCGGTCCAGCCACCGGAACGGTTATTGCACGTATACCACGATCCCAACAGGCGGACGTTGACAATGGTATGTTGTGGTAAAGTTGCCTACTGTCTAATTGAGAGAATGCATCGATATAGCGCATGTTTACACGTGACAATATGTTCAAAGTTGATTCAGGCAATATATAAATGGCTGACAAGATAAATTTACGTACTTCAAGTATTGCCAAACGCAAGCTCCTAACAACGTAACTCATGTCTAAGACATTTCCTGTCTCGAATTAATTAATATGCAGCCGTTGCTGCGGCTAAAAGCGCGTATCCTGAGTGGAAAGCAACGCCCGTGGCTGTGCGTGCAGAGTACCTGCACAAAATCTGTGCTGCGATCCAGAAAGAGGCAGCTCATCTGGCCGAGTTGGAGACGCTTGACTGTGGTAAACCAATCAGTTTAACATCGCAAGTTGAGATTCCCAGAGCGGCACTTAATTTCAAGTTTTTTGCTGAGGTAGGTGTGATTGTTGTATATTTATATATATGCATGTATGTATATATATATGTGTGTGTGTGTGGACATATCTATTGACGCTGCGTGAGTCCTGGTCACAGAGATCATGTATTCACATGAGGGGATATAATGAGTGAAATGCGCATCCACCCGCACGATTACATAAATACAAACTGTCGTTAGAAGTAGTTACTTTCAATTGCCACGGTATGTTTCTCAGGACTCGTAGCGCCAAGTTGTTTTGTTTACCGCGCACTTCTGTATGAATACACACGCCTGAAACCGCTCTGTTATGTATGTACTGGAACGCACACATACGTATTCGCAGGCAACCTCATCAAATATATATCTCAACTTTCTATAGTTTGCTACCGGGGATGAGACTCAGAGCCATGAAATGGCGGATGCCGTGAACATCACCCAAAGGGCGCCTGTGGGAGTAGCAGCGCTCATCACCCCCTGGAATCTTCCCTTGTACCTTCTCACTTGGAAAGTAGCTCCTGCCCTGCTATGTGGTAACACGGTACGATATGAGCGTGCATGTATTTATACGTAGAATGATATGCATGTGTGTGTGTCGGTGAGGGGTTTTCAGTATTCGATCTCATGACATATCTCTCTTAACGCGCAAATGTATATAATTGATTCTTTTATCCATCATAGCTTATCTTTGCAATTGCATGCTGATGGTATAGTAGCATATAAGTTATGGAGATTGTATCTGCAGTTTGGATCCGATTACGCGGTAGATCAATAGTCGCAAGCCAGCAAATATGTACTCCAGATCTATACACAGTGCCATATCAGCTAAGCACTTTTCCAGCATCAACCCCCAACCACAAATACGCACTCGTATAGTAGATGCGGGTCCGTTCAGTCCGATTGCAAGTGCGACCGCACCGAATCATTTTGCTTCTATTTATAACCGTGTACTCCCTCGATTCCTTTTACGTCCACTACACCTGATGACAGATCGTTGCCAAACCCAGCGAGCTGACGCCTCTCACCGCCAACGCTCTGGCGCAGATAATCCATTCCGTCGGACTGCCTGCAGGCGTGTTCAATCTCGTCCACGGCTATGGTGCGGAGTGTGGTGGCCCGCTAGTTGGACACGAGGATGTGTCGCTTGTCTCCTTTACAGGCGGAACAGGTGAGCATATATATATATATATATATATATATATATACGTGTGACATCGATATATTGGGGGTGTCGAGTACTAAGCTGCATACGCATTGCATGTATAGCAAGTACAAGCAGATGCAATCATGAGAAGTATTTAAAAACACGATTTTTCTTGTCATGTCCCCGCTGCTACGTGAGTGGTATTCGAATACCTGTGTACAAATTTGGCTGGCGAATGGACTGCTGAGCCACTATATCATCGGTGAATAATCTTCTCTAGGTCTTACGTACGTACCAGTATCTCGCACAATCTGAGGGTGTGGTGTGGTCTGTTGCTCATCCCCATGCATCTACCCCTTTTCCAATCCCCTGTAGCGACCGGCAAATTGGTAGCGGCAACAGCTGCGCCTCAATTCAAAAAGTTAAGTCTGGAACTCGGCGGAAAGAACGCAGCCATCATCTTCAAGGCATGTCACAATTTGTTACTGTCCTAATACCACTGATCGATGTGTTCCTGGAATACATATTACAAAGCGCCTAACGCTGAGTGTTATTCTGTTCTGGAATAGGAAAGCCCAATGTCTTTTGACATATCACGCGTACTATACAAACGAGCCTCTAAAGGTCCTATGCCATTTAGCTAATGCATCCGTACACATTTTGGTCACCGCTAACAATAATTTTTAATGTGTGTGGTCTACTGTGTGCTACATAGGACTGTGAGAACGACGACTGGGACAACATGATCGCTACTACAGTACGCAGCTCCTTCCTTAACAGCGGCCAGGTATGTTCAATTGTGCTTAAATACCTTCATGTGCATTTGTGTATCTGTCTGTCCGTGCATATGGATGTTTCTTATTTTTCCTCGCTCAGAGGTGAGCCTTTTTAAGATGTAGTTGTGCGATCGTAATATCATGACATACTTGGGGCAATCGATCTCCTGCGCGCTAGCATGTACCCGTACTTAATTTGAATCCTAGACATTTTGTTATATATATCTATGCGTACACTTGTGGTGCAGTTCATACACATCGACGTCCATTAAAGGTGTTCTCTCATGTCTGAATATGTCTCGTTCCACTCATCGCCTGCAGGTGTGCCTGTGCTGCAGCCGTATCCTAGTAGAGGAGAGTGTATACGACCGCTTCGTCACAGACTTTGTGAAAGGGGTCGAAGCACTGCGTATCGGTAGGCCTCTGGATAAGGATACTACCACGGGTGCTCTGAGCTCACGCGCACATGTGGAGAAAGTACGGAGTTACATACAACTCGCTAAGGAAGAGGGTACGTTTGTGTAAATAGCAGTCAGATATATGTATTCGATAAGCATACATTCACATCTATTTTCATCGGCTGTATGTTCATGCCCGAAGATATAGTGTAGGTGCGTGCACTTTGTAAGGACTACTTGTGTGTGGGGTGATTGCAATCGAGCAGATGATAAAGCTTAGCAACTGATGGGTTAATTTGGCTTCGCATCGATTTTACACCCTTGGTGGAGTCATGTATTGACTTGTGATTCCAAGTCTCTGACACTCTCGTTTTTGAACGAGATGGTGCGATAGAAAGGCTACTCTTTATTCATCCGCTCGTGAAATCTTTACACCTCCATTAATATCAGTAGCTGCCAGACGCTTGCTATTCAAACGATAATCATAGATGAACTATCTACATTCCAACGCCACAGGTGGAGTAATTCTTACAGGTGGGGTGATTCCTGACCTGAAGGAGGAGTTTGCGGAAGGGTTCTGGTTGAAACCCACCGTTATCGCAGGCCTAGACCCCCGCACCAGCCGAGTGGCGACAGAGGTGCGTTTATCTTTTATAAGTGAAATTTTATTATTACCTACTGTATATATTACTATTTTCTATTTGTTTTCGCGTCTACGCTAAATATGAGTGGCTGTGTGATGGGTGTTATCTGGGTTTGTTCCAGGTATTGGAATCGACCTTGATTGCTGGTATATTTCTCTACCACTCACCACCCCCTGTTTCGTAGCTAACTATATATCAGATCATACACCCGTAGTTGACAGTATTCCACTGGATATATACGAGAATTATATTTATTGTTTATCTTCTCTCATCCATTTATTCAGGAGATATTCGGTCCTGTTGTGACTATTCACACATTCAAAGACGCAGCTGACGCGGTAGATATACACAACTCTGTGAAATACGGACTCGCAGGGACATTGTGGACATCTAATCTCAAGCAGGCGCATGCTGTGAGTAGGCAGATGCACACTGGAATGGTCTGGGTGAACACCTGGTTGCATAGGTATGTTAGTGCCATTGCTTGACAATGTTGTATACCCGAACGCATGTTATCTATCAACTCTATCTATACAGGCGTTCTCCGTGAAGGATTCTTCGGTGGTGAAATTTGTACACATACACATCAAGTCATATAAAAAAAATTTTGTCCTCTTCACGATTGCAGGGATTTACGAGTACCATTCGGAGGCGTAATGGCAAGTGGTGTAGGCCGAGAAGGCGGAAAGCATTCGTTGGAATTCTTCAGTGAACTTAAAAATATCTGCTTCAAATACTAACCCCCGTTTGCAGTAATAGGAGGTTCGATCAAATAAACTAGCAGGCTACATATCTCGAAATAAACGACCCTCAATCCGATATTTCCAAAATCAATAAATCAGTGCCTGTGACATGGGCACTGAAAGCGTTTTTTCCGTATGGTTTAATCTTGGATTTTGGATTGAACTTCTCCTTCCCTCCCCCCCCTCGAATTGTGTGTTGAACAATCTGGACCCATTTTCTTTATGCACTTCATGTGCAGTACAGCTCCACTAAATCGGTCAGTATTCCTCGTAGAAGACGGCCTCGCAATACAAACTTAGATTTGTCTATAATGAAGGCAAATTCCTCGAATCTATACCACATGGTTAAACATGAAGGTGAGAGACACCTTTAGCTACGTAAGTCAGAAGGTGCATTGGAGAAGTATTCCACAATCGCTTTTTTTTGTCACATTAATTTCAATAATGTGTTCTAAGCAGCGGCCAATCCGTGGTACCTGTATTCTCATCGATAAGGAATTCGTATCACCCATCGGAGGCGCGACCTTCTGTATAGTGATACATATACGTGCGTCACATATTGTATGTCAGATCAGAAGGTACATCGGAGAAGTATGCCACAATCTCCTTTTATTGTCGCATCGTCCACCCTGGAGCTCATTTGTATTCATTTAATCATTCCTGCGGGTATCATAAGAGAACATGGACTGTCAATTTTGAGCACATTTTGCTTAAAAATCCAGTATGGGACGATCGTGGACAATATCATTTCAATTGAAGGTATCGTTGCTTCATCAATGACAGGTGTATTTGTATGACCGTGTTTTACCTCGACATTTTTTCCAAATGAATAGTGTTTTGTACATATACATAAACACAGAGAGTGCGAGAGTGCGGTCACAAACCAAATAAGACAAACTCTTCCTAACAGAATCGACTACTATGTCTGAAAACATACCAAGTGCCGTAATAGGGCGTTCAGTGAGGAGCTCAGTGAAAGCTAACGTTGATAAACGACCCTCTTCAAACCGACCCAAACCTACAAGACGGCCTAAACAGCCCACTGCAGAAAGAAGTATCTTCGTTCTACGAGAGTGTTTTATCTGCTGTAGCAAGCTTAAATTGGAAAAGTATCCAGAGGTAGGTCAAGCTGCACGAGTAGTATAAATTTTGCAGCTTTGTAGCTAATTGCTCAAAAAAAAAGTGGTAGACTAGTTATCTCGATCTACCTTGAACGGCTGCATTGTACTTCCGAATAGTGTATATTGGGGTTAGTTCCCATAAGAGTAGAGTTAAATGTAGCTTTAGAAGTAAGTTAGCATAAGTAGATGATGATCTCTCCTACGGCTACAGCCATGCTCACAGCGTACATCATATCTTGTTTTTCTTTTCACCACTTTTAAAATTACAGGTGGGGTCAAGCTGTGACCATACATCAAAAATCTGCACGGAGTGCATGAATAAGTACCTTGAAACGCAGATAGACTTCATGGGAAACCTTCGCATACAATGCCCTGTGGACAGTGCCTCCCTGAGCTTGGGAGATGTCAAGCTATTTGCACGACGCCCCCTTTTCGATAGATACGATGATTTGTTGTTCAAACAATTCATACAAAACACTGCAAATTTCCGCTGGTGCAAAGCGGTATACGATTGGCTTTTACGGTTGTGGCTGTGACGCAAGTGAGATTATATTCGAGTGTGTATACTGCACAAATTGGAGATGGCATACACGTGATCAGGTTTTGCTATCTATTCGGACGTTAGATTTTTCTTGGTTGCTAGATGACAAAGATGGTTTCCAACCATTTTATTATCTTGATTTGATTTTCAAGATATTTTTCGCAGCATGAATCACGTGCCGGTCAAGATCGCATTTACCATTAGATAAATACCCTTTGTTTTGTATTCTCGCTCTATCAATGATCTCGACATACTTCAGTCGCCTGCTTAACTTTATTTCGAGATTCTGGTACATTACACCAGCGTAACTCTTAGGCGCAACTCTCATCTAGGCCACGACTTTAAAATTGATTTTCATACATGGCCTTCTCACCTTCTGATTCTCATACATAAAATAATGGATGGTACTTTGTTTTGGATTCAGCCCGAGTGCGGATCCGGGCAGATACAAGAAAACAGCAGCGGTCCACAAATGGTTTGCCATGAGTGTGGGTTCGAGCTTTGTTTCACTCATGATGTGCCTTGGCATCAAGATCTTACTTGCGAGGTGAGTCCGGTGTGAGCAATCGTAAAATCGCATTCCCACGAAAGAACTAATGGGCAAAATATAGAGATACCAAGTTTAACTCATTGACAATATAATGTGTGATTTGTGATTAAACAGCAATACGATGCAAATCGATCGCCGTCCAGGGCCACTAAAAAGTATCTGCGTAGGAACACGAAACAGTGTCCCGGCTGCACCTTCCACATCGAGAAAATCGATGGGTGCAATCACATGATATGTAGTGAATGCCAGTGTAACTTTTGCTGGAGTTGTAGTGGACAAGAAGGACGTCATACGTCTGCATGCGAAGATCACCACTACGACGACGACGACGTATCGGGCAGTGACAACGACGTCGAATTGGGCAGCGACAACGACGTCGACAATTTTAGTTGGATTGACAGATTTGGCAGTGGCAGTGACAGTGCATGAGAGGTGTCAGTACAACAGTCCTCAGTACGGCAGTCCATTCTCTGAAGTTTTTGTTATACAAGCTGGCGAGATATAGTCCAGTAAAGAGAGAATCCATCAAACTTGTATTTATTTTGAAATGCTTGATTCTGTCCCCTGAAAACCAGGATTCTGTTCTCTACAACGAGAGCACAAATGGGTAGTGATGGACGTAGCTGACACGAACACGAACGCGCAGTGTAGATTTATTAGTGGGTATATGCTATAGCGGAGTACGAACTTGCACACATACACTGGCCGATAGAAAAATGCTGTTCATAGTTGCCGTTCGTATTGATCTTGTGGAACTAAACACATACCGCATTCCAATGAGACGTTAGAAGGCTATGACGCTATGCGCTGGTACCAAACATATATCGAGAAATATTTGAAAAAAAAGTTGCAATAATAGCGACTGTGCGACAGCCTCTCCACACATTCCACTTCTTAATCTCCCGTGAGTCCAGTCTCCTCGGTCTCTGTGTCCTGTGAGTCTGATAATAAATACCAAATGGTCACAATCGCAGATCAGTCATCAGAATTCAGATGTGAGATGTCAGATGATGTGAGTCGATATGATACCAAAATACACAAGAGGAGGAGCAAAAGACGACTTTGAAAATCGACGAGAAATCGAGAACCCTCGAGCAAGGCTCGCAATTCGCATCCTCGAAGACCTCGATCCGTTCGGCCTTTTAAAAATTAAAACGTATATCTAACATGCTAAACGTTTAAAGTGATGGAACCCTCGCAAATTTTTGTCTATTGTCTGGACTTTTTTTTGTAAATATAGTTAGAACAAGGCTAGGTTTTTTTAATGTTTTTTTTCACAGAATTTGACTTTGACCTCTCTATATATTTAACGGAAACTGCTCACAGAGCTCAGTCTGCAATAAATACATAAATACAGAATTACAGACTGTACATAGATTTCATTTCGCGCCATAAATTTCTTATTTTTACTATTTCCTTGCGCGTGCCACACGCCGGGCCAGTGGCTCACTGGAGCGGCGACCGTCGGCGCTTCGGGAATCGGGATATCTGATTCTCCTCTATTTATAGAGGCTATGCGGCTGTGCCGCTATAAATATAAATATTACAGTTGCTTTTCTTAAAAATAAACAAATCAAAAGGAAAAAAACAAACGAAACAAAAGTTTTTTTTGAATCATGTTATTTTGCGACAAATGCTTCAAATTCTCACATGCGTGTGAATTCAAATTTCCTACGAATATCTGATGACTCAAGTAACTTTAAACCCTAACAATACGAACACGCTTAAAGTAGGTTTATCCAATCATCGGTGCCCAAGTAGGAAAATGAAAAAATAGTTTACGACATTCGAATCAATACTGTCGTTTATGGGTATAATTTTCCGAAAATAAATGCAGTGCTCCGGCGTCCAGTCACACGCATGAGCATAGTGGGAAATAGCCAATCTACTGTACTGAAAGTATTTACCGAAACACAAAAACCAATGCGCTCTTTTCAATGTTAATCTATTTATATACTAGGCCTCTCCGACGTGGGGCGGGCTGTCTTGCACGTATGGACACTGACTCGCAGAGTCACAGACTCTTCATCAGTCATTCTCGGTACTGTCATTCACTCACTATACGGTCTTTCACGGTATACTGCCTACTATGAGGGGAACGATGTGAGAGCATCGACTGTGTACTAAGAGTACGTATTGTGTATGAACGAAATGATTGAATTATCCATAGCCTTCATGTCATAGGTTATGCACTCTTTACATATATACGAGATGAGTAGCCGTCGTTTAGTTCTTCCTGCAGTTCGCCACGAACTTGCACACTGCTTTCTGAAACTATCCTAAGCCAAGCTATCTGTAGCTCACACCCTATGCTGTTATAGAGGTCAGCATACCTTAGTCTTTCACAATAATCTAAAAGCGATAATATCAAGAAGTATAAAACTACTATTTGTTCTGGATTGGTACGATATACACATACATACATTTACATACAAGACACAAACTAATCACAATGGCCGTAGGAAGTACCGCGGTTGCCCCTGGGCGCCGTTTCTCGCCTACTGGAACACAAACAGTTGTGATCAAAGAAAAGTTGCGATCATGCAACTCCAAGCCTTTGAAGATCACACGCACAAGTACATTCGGATTGAGTTCGCAGTTTAAGCACCTTTCCGTAGACAGTTTTGAACAGCTTACAAGACCGGAAGGGTCTAAAATGCTGTTCAACATCTGTGAAAAGCAGACACAGTTCCTAGCCAACCCACAGTACCTCACAAGAGTACAAAAGGGGGACATTGAGGAAGGCATGCGACGTGATATTGTTGAATGGATGTACAAGTTGAACGTGCACTTCGAGTACTTGCACGAAACATTCGCTGTTGCTGTCAACTTGTTTGACCGATTTCTGAGTCAGGTATGTACAAACATACAATCGCCCCTTCATGTGCTAAGTATTCGGTACGCACTGCTATCTCCACTTGCGTGTTTCCTTATCCTGTATGTCGTGTACGTTGTTTCTCCACAAATACCTTCCAACATATTTTTATGGCGGCTAACATGTTGCATGTTGCGATTTTCTCCCTGATCTGTTCGTTAACTATCACATTTGGCGTTCAGGCTGTTCGTGTAAGTAGGCTTTCATTATGCTTGTCAATCGAGTATCTGTTGTCTTTTTGTGCTCAGTGTCGGTCATGCGCTCTGGTAGTAGGATATTCAAGTGGTTGTGTATTGTAGCACAAATTGCAACGCGCTACTGCTCAGACCAAGATTTATGTGTGGTATTGGAAACGCAGGCTATACGTGTGTAGTAATTTGGTCGACCGACTGTTTATAGCCTCTATTCGTGCGACTGCTGTCGATATTTATTAAGCTCAAGTATTACCGTCGGTATTTTATACGGTGTCGTTAATGTAACAGGTTTAGGTGTATATGAGTGTGTTTTCACATATACTAAACTCTGTGATTAGTTGTTGTTTCCAATATATGCGAGGAGTGTACAGTTTATTTTGACTTTATGTTCAATAATTCGTGTTCAGATCAGATCGCCCCTGCATGTGTATAATATCTGTATGTGTTTTTCTTCAATGTCTGAACAACCTTCGAGGTATTGAACACTGTTCATTTGTATGGTTCACCTTCGGCGCATCATTTCGTATAGGCGCGCACGAAGTCTTTACAAAGTCTGTTTGTGCTTGAATTGTGAGTCCTCCCAGTACCATATGTCTTACTCAGGCCCGTCATGCTTCCAATACTTCCCTGCCGCTATTCAATATATTCCCCGAGATGATATTTTGGAAATCTCTTTTATATTTGTCTGCTCTTGGTTCCTTTGCTCTACTTTTGGTAGTCGCTACGGTAGCACACGTTGAGTCACATTCCTATATCTTATCACTAACGTTTGAATTGTATTACGTGTTATACTACAGGTCAAAGTTAAACCCCTTCACCTGCAGTTGATAGCCGCCACATCTCTGCTGCTGGCTGCCAAGATACAGGAGGCCTGGAACACACACCCCGCATATAATGATCTAGTGCCTGCCGGTAACTACTCGTTCTCTGCGTGTGATCTGCAGAAGATGGAAAAGCTTATAATCACAAAGTTGAGTTGGAACTTGAATCCCGTCACCCCGCATGTGGTGTTGCATCAGCTGATGCGCTTTGTGGGGATGAAGAATGAAAGTGCACGCGCTAAGGTGATCGAGGAAGGAGAGAACCTCGTCAACTCGTGTTTACTTGGTATGTACTGAAATTTTTTGACAGAACAATACTGTGGGCCTATACATATTCTATTTACAGAGATATCTGAACAATTTATACCTGTTAGCGAGTCTGCAAACTGTACAATCGCTATCTCGAACTCAAAATGTTGCTATGTATAGGTATAGAGGAATATGTACACATCATAGTCCACCTGTAGACACTTCCGTTTGCGTTCCGTTTTGAAGTGCGAGATGTACCTGTGCTCCCAAGTTAGTTTCGAGCAAGGTCTCATATATGGCTGTGCTGTTCTTGATTTATGCTTGTTTTGTAGTCTTAAAATTATTTAAGTAATATGCATGGTTTGTGTGCAAACTTTTTTATCCGGTGGGGTGTGTTCGGCTACTCCGTATGTTGACTTGTTGAGTGTTATCCTGCTGTATCCTGCTGTCTGTCATTTTCTTTTTGACATCATTTTGCAAATTCTCGATATCGGCATACATATATATATATATCTATCTATATATATTCACATTTTCTTTGGCGAATATTTTTCAGTGTCATTTATGAACGGGGCAACCACTGACCTACTCTCCAATTGCTTCTCATTCCATAGAATCACACTTCATGATCTTCCGCCCGTCAACACTTGCTGCGTGTGTTGCGATGATGGCTCTGAACGAGATGGGTGAACTGGAACAGAACGACAAGACTTTGCGACAGATTTTGTTTTTGACTTCAACCAAGCCTGAGATTTACAACCAGTGCACCGACGATCTGAAGCGTATCCGCATCAACGTTACACCTGCGTTGTAAAGTGCCCCAGCACTTGCTCGAGATCACACACGTTCGTACGTATTCAAAACACCTGTATACTCGTATAGCGTGTATGCATGTGTTTAGAATTTTATAGGTCTGCTCTGGTTGATGTGCCTTCCCAGAGAGGTCGAACTTAACGAGAACTACTATTACTATGTCATCATTGACTTTTATTAAAGGACTCTTATAATAATCGACCAGATAACCGAAAAATATCATATATTTACAGCATGAATGTATGTACTTTGGCATAGTTGCTACCGTGTGTGTGAAGGGATGATGATTAGTACAATTACACATCACCCTGAATGCTTCATCAAACAGGCTAGGCGTGAACATTTCTAGACACTTTCCTCTCAGATATGCTTATGAATTATTTTTCATAGTTCATGCAGTTTAGACACATATCCACCCTACATTGATGTGTCTAGACACTTTTCTCTTAGATATGCTTATGAACTATTTTTCATATTTCATGCAGTTTAGACTCATATCCACCCTACATTGGTGTGTCTAGACACTTTTCTCTTAGATATGCTTATGAACTATTTTTCATATTTCATGCAGTTTAGACTCATATCCACCTTACAGTGATGTGTGAAAGATCTTGAAAGCCAGTCCACGAACGCAGCTAGAATCTTTGAAGTTTTTGTTACGGATGATCAAGTGGTGCGATTGATCTCGCGCCCTGTCATTGTATATGAACAGCTGTACGTGTCGTTGCTTTTTGTGTGCTTGTACTTCTATGTGTGTATCTCAATCCGGCACTATATTTGGCCGCACATACATACCTGAGCTTACCTGAGTTTCACGGCCGCTCAATCGACATCGAAGATTACAGATAATTTTAGGTGAATTTCAAAAAACTTCAACTGAACATCCCAAAAAAATCTATTGTCCGCACCAGCGACCCCTGTTCTTGATCAGTTTTTAGGTCGTTAATGTGATGAATTATATTCAGCATTATGAACAAGCATGCGAAATCTGAGTGAGCGTGTATTATGGCAATGAATTTGTACCTGACTTATATAAATCTTCATATCATATCAGACTATCACCAACTCAAATTTGCCTTGTACTGTGGTAAAATGGTCGTTTGGGCACTGGGTACTGGGTACTGGGTACACTCAAGGGAGTCGGGAGAGTCCTACACTTTTCGCATGACCCTCTTGAATTGGTTTAGCTATGTATCAACTAGCTCAACTACTAAAACGTGTATCTGCACAGACTACTGGACTATCTCTCTACTAGAATTCCAGACAGTTCCTTTAAATATGCATCAACGTCCAACAACTTCCGTTTTAAAATAAAATGCACAAGAAGTATATAGGCCGCTCTAGGCGTTGAGCTCGGACTCTTTTTTAGCTAAAAGAGCTGCAAAATGAACCAATAGTAGAAAGTCAGGGAACTGGGAAGGCTTTCAGCAATCTACATGGGTGTGAGGGTGACTCACCTATGACTCATTGTCTTTTTATGCAACAACTAACATTCCTCGCTTATGCGGTACAGTATTAAGGCTCGTTCCACATCAATATTTGTACATATATCGAGTCAAATATCTGTTCTTGGGGGGTTTAAAACTTATATAGAAGCTTTATTTGGCTTTAAAATGATTCGCGCCACAGTAAATAATGAACAAATCTCGAGGTAGACAATACAGAGTTTTGTATGGATTCACTACATGGTAGATGCACATAGGTTGTTGCATATCTCTACTCTAGAGCACTTCGATAGTCCAGTAGTTAGTTGTTACACGGTTCGACTACGAGCGAATATACAAGCAGCATATTAAGCAGGTCGATAGTTTATTGTTACACGACACACTTGTGAACAATTATTTATGCAGTACAGCGTTCAGCCTGTTTACTACCCGTTTACTAAATCGATCCACCATGCTTAGCACTGCTAGTATATACCTCTGTGCCGTACTGCTAGCCTTAGGGAGCTCTAAGGTTGATGCAGGCCTAACCAGCTTACATCATCAACGAGTTGGTAGTAAGGTTCACCGGGCTTACACACGTGCATTGCCTCTAAAGCAAGGGGAAGTTACAAATAACTTCCATACTTTGCCTCTACCAGTGGGGCCTATTGCTGTACATGGATTCCGAGCGGATGTTGTGGAAAAGAATAGGAACGGAGAGTTTGTACCTGTGCCGATCAGTGATGCATATCTGCACCATCACGTCGTCGGTACGAACTACCACGAAGATGGTAGGTATTGTTAAAGACGTTGAGGTGTGATACTCATTTTTAAGCGAGAATATACTTCAACTCTTGCTTCGCGTACATATATTATACTGACTAGATCTTTAACGCCCTATGCAACTATCTGCGATTTGCTCTCAGAGTGTTATTCGCTCCTTTTCGATGTATTTATGTATGTAAGT